GCAGGGCAGATGAGTTGGTGTGGCCCTGGGTCAGGTGCACACTCATTTCCTGATGAACTTAGTCTCGTTTGTGTCATGCTTGGCAGCCTTTGAGAAGGCAGGCCACAAACATGCCCGCGTACAATGCTTAAGTAATTGCTTTTGATGAAGTAAATCATAAGGGTATGAACTGTAGGGTTAGTAAGCAAAAATGAATTTGGGGAAAATGCAAGTTAGCTATATATGAGTTAAGAAACCCCAAAAGTAAATCCAGATCGTTCATAGACCTTGTCAATATGGGCTTTCATTGTAACACACGTCTTTGTTAGGAACCTACCTGAAGGTTTGCCTTCATTGGCTCTTAATAGATTGCCAGTCTACCTTAGTACCATTCCATTTTCTAAGTAGGTTAATAATACAGAGAGCAGAAATTACTAATTTGAGTAGGAAGGATATCAGAACATCTGAGGGCAAGTAAACTTACAAGACTTTACAGAAAGAGGCAGGGACCATGAACAAAGATAAACACAGCTTGATCCTGTCCGAATGTTGACCTGCATCCTGTGTGTGGCAGGACGTGTTCAGACAACACTGCTCTTATCCACTGCCTAGAGTAGCTGTTTTAATAGAGAAATCTCTCCCCGAGAAGTGTATCTTAGGTGTACATGTCGCTAACATTTGGGATGCTTTGGGGTCACTATCAAAGGCCTGGATGTTGTATGTGAGAACCTTCCCCAGGAACCTAAATGGGAGGTTGTTGAAGTAGCTAAGGGTCAAGTGTGAGCTCACATTTAATGGAGAGGGGATTTATGAGAGTAAATTACATCTAGTGCTGTGGCCTGTGCAGATCTCACGAGGTAGCACAGAGGTTGACTTCTGCTGTGTCTGGGCTCAGCCCTTTACTATAAACGTTATAATGCTGACTAATAAAAGAGTAAGCATTTGGATTGTCGTCAGAATTTGTCAGGTCCTCCCCTCTTGATTGTGGTGCCAGGAAACACCCACACGGGGCACTTGGAGCAGCTGATTCCAGACACACCCTATTCCGGGGACATCACTGCCCTCCACTCAGATGGAAGGGGAGTCCCAGCCCCGCCCAGGGCCAAACGCATGAGACTGAAATCCTTTCCACCCAGTTCCCTTGTGACTCAGTGAGGAAGGCTGGACAGGTGGGTGGTGAGGGGGGTGCTGAGAGCTGCCTCCACCTTGCGCAGGTGAGGGGAGGCCTCACGCCTACTTCTGCCCGGGTTCCCCACGCTCACGTTCAGGCTGAAGGCCGTCTGGGCTGAGTGAGTGTCACTGGGCCATTTTCTCATCTGGGACCTTTGTTAAGGAGGTTTCTTCCCTTCTCCCGCCCTGCAGTGGGTCTTCTCACCAACTGGGCACTTTTGAAATGTGAGGGCTTGGCCTCTCTGTTTCATTCAACACGAAGTGGTCAGAGTAGCTGAAATCCCTTTCTCTCCCAGTCTGTACATTTAGGTTCCAACCTAGTCTCTGTCCCTGAAAGATCAGCATGTAACCATAGCTCTGAATGGAGCACGTTTTTTTAACACTTTTTTTGTTGAGCTATGGTCAGTTTAAAATCTTGTGTCAATTTCCAGTGTAGAGCACAATTTTTCACTTACACATGAACATACATATTTTCATTGTCACATTCACTT